GAAAAATTCAAACGTTGAAAAATCTAAAAATTTCGGGGATTGAAAAACTGAAATCGTAGAACAGAAATATCCGAAAATTCGAAAAATCGAAAATTTGAAAAATTGACACATTGAAAAATCCTGAAACTAAAATGTCGAAAAATTGAAAAACCGAAAAATCTAAAAGCGAGAGGTCGAAAATTCGAAAAATATAGATATCGAAACATCAAAATAGTGAAACAACTTTTAAAAATTCGAAAAATTGGAAATTGAAAACTGAAGCACTAAAAAACCGAAAAATCGAGAAGGTGAAATATCTAAAATTAAAAAAAAAAAACGAAAAATTGAATCGAGAAATCAAAACATCAAAAAATCGAAAAATTCAAACACTGAAAAATCGAAAAATTTGAAGAATCGAAAAACTGAAATCGTAAAATTGAAATATCGGAAAAATAAAAGTTCGAAAAATCGAGAATTTGAAGAATCGACACATTGAAAAATCCTCAAATTAAAATGTCGAAAAATTGAAAAACCGAAAAATCTAAAAGCGAGAAGTCGAAAATTCGAAAGATATAGATATCGAAACATCAAAATAGTGAAATAACTTTTAAAAATTCGAAAAATTGGAAATTGAAAACTGAAGTACTAAAAAACCGAAAAATCGAGAAGGTGAAATATCTAAAATTAAAAAAAAAAACGAAAAATTGAATCGAGAAATCAAAACATCAAAAAATCGAAAAATTCAAACATTGAAAAATCTAAAAATTTCAAGGATCGAAAAACTGAAATCGTAGAACAGAAATATCCGAAAATTCGAAAAACCGAAAATTTGAAAAATTGACACATTGAAAAATCCTGAAACTAAAATGTCGAAAAATTGAAAAACCGAAAAATCTAAAAGCGAGAGGTCGAAAATTCGAAAAATATAGATATCGAAACATCAAAATAGTGAAACAACCTTTAAAAATTCGAAAAATTGGAAATTGAAAACTGAAGCACTAAAAAACCGAAAAATCGAGAAGGTGAAATATCTAAAATTAAAAAAAAAACGAAAAATTGAATCGAGAAATCAAAACATCAAAAAATCGAAAAATTCAAACACTGAAAAATCGAAAAATTTGAAGAATCGAAAAACTGAAATCGTAAAATTGAAATATCGGAAAAATAAAAGTTCGAAAAATCGAGAATTTGAAGAATCGACACATTGAAAAATCCTCAAACTAAAATGTCGAAAAATTGAAAAACCGAAAAATCTAAAAGCGAAAAGTCGAAAATTCGAAAGATATAGATATCGAAACATCAAAATAGTGAAATAACTTTTAAAAATTCGAAAAATTGGAAATTGTAAACTGAAGTACTAAAAAACCGAAAAATCGAGGTGAAATATCTAAAATTAAAAAAAAAAAAACTAAAAATTGAATCGAGAAATCAAAAAATCGAAAAATTCAAACACTGAAAAATCGAAAAATTTGAAGAATCGAAAAACTGAAATCGTAACTAAAATATCGGAAAAATAAAAGTTCGACAAATCGAGAATTTGAAGAATCGGCAAATTGAAAAATCCTCAAATTAAAGTGTCGTAAAATTGAGAAATCGAAAAATGTATAAGCAAGAAGTCCTAAAATCGAAAGATAGAGATGTCGAAACATCAAAAAAATTAAAAATCTAACATTTAAAAATTCGAAAAATTGAAAATTGAAAACTGAAGTAGGTACCTACTAATAAACCGAAAAATCGAGAAATCAAAACATCAACAAATCGAAATTTTGAAAAATGTTAAAACCGGAAAGATCGACAGCCTGGGAAATAGAAAAACTGAGACATCGAAAAGAAAATGAAAAAATCGAAAAATCAAAGAATCGATTATAGCAAAATTGTGAAAAGAAAAAATCGAAAATTTCGAAACACCAAAAATTTATTCGGCAAAAGAAAGCCATGTGTTTTTTAAGGTTTTCCCATTTTACAGCAATTAAAATAAATCAATAAAATGGAGAAAGGAGGTGGGCGGGGCGAAGTTTAGTTTTTTCTACAGTCTTATGATCAAACAGAAGTCCCGCCCACCCGCCCCCACTTCGTTCTAGTCACTACTTTTAATACTGTTCAGTTTTTCCTTAGCAGGTACTAATCCCGCCCACCCACCCTCTATTTTCTCAGAAAGTGTGATTTGCCAAAATCAAGTACTAGGTCATGATGTTCCTAATATACTCGTACATACAGAATTTGACAACAATCGGTCCAGTACTTTCGGAGATTATCTGCCTAATAAAAATCGACATACGATAGGGGTCACGAAACGTCGAGAAAACATGAAAGTAGTCATTGGCCGAATGGAACGTACTACAATACTTCCTTAGTTTACGCTCAGGAGGTGAAAATCTAAAATATAGGTTTTTTGATATTGATACATATTGAATAAAAAATGCAACGAAAAAGGCGGATAAATGACGGAAAAAAGGCGATAATTAGGAGAAGAAAAAAATGCTACAAAAAAAAGACAAAATGTCCATAAAAAAGACTGTTAAAAAAAGAGGATAAAAAATTCAACAAAAAAAGGACCTACAAAAAGTGACAACAAAAAAGACGTTAAAAACCAAAAAAACACAAAAATATATATAAAATTATAAGTTGTCAAAAAATGTTCCAAAAATGCTACAACGCGACAAAAACTATAGATGACAAAAACAGTTGACTGCAAAAATGACCAAAAGAAAACAAAAAAAAAGCTACAAAAAGCGACAAAATTCACAAAAAAAAAAAATAAAACAAGTAGGCTAACTTACGCTCAGGAAATAAAAATATATTGTGTTCAACAATTTTCTTACACTTATCGAAAAACTGGTAATTTTTTCTTCCTGAGCGAAAACTAAGGAATCAGAGTCCATTCGACGAATCGGTGATTCGATGTTTTCTGGACAGTTTATAATTCCTAGGTCTCCCATTTCCGTTTATCGGTCTGTCAATTTTTATTAGGTAAATAATCTCAAAACTACTGGATCGATTGTTGTCAGATTTTATATATATCCCTACCAACAATAAAATGACATCATCTCCAAAATTTTAATAGTAAATATTATTGTGGCCCTGTACTTGTGATTTATTAATTAGTGTTGAGTTTTTACCCTAAATATGCAAATGTTTGGGAAAAAATCAAAATTGAATTGCAAATTTTTGAAAGTAATATCTTAGACATACTAAATAGTTTAGTCAAAATTTACTCCTTTTGACCCCCCCCCCCCATCATGACGTTCCCAAATTTAATTTTTTTTATTTTCAAATTTTCAATTCTTTTATTCTTCAATTTTTCGATTTTTTTTCATTTTTTTATTGATTTTCGAATTTTCGATGTTCGAATTCTAAATCTGTTTATTTTTCGATTTTTCGATTTTTTAGTTTTTTGATTCAATTTTCCCGAAGATTCTTTCGATTTTTCGAATTTCCGAAATTTAGATTTGTAGATTTTCAATATTTTGATTTTTCGATTTTTTCATTCTTCAATTTTCTTTTTACTTTTTGATTTCTCGATTTTTCAGTTTTCCGATTTTTGACTTTCAAGTTTCATCAATTTTTTTTAGATTTAGATTAGTTCTTACGAAGTTACCTGGTTCAAAAACGCATCTAACTAGAGAATACTGTGATGAGTATGTTTTTAAAAATTTTCAAATCAGAAATGGTCTACTGTATTTCTCTACGATTATTTAAATAAGTTTTGTCACTGAGCCATTAAAGTGTACGTCTAATTTCTCAAATCTTGGGTCTTTCCCCAGTTCTTTTAAAGCAAAGAAAAAATGTTCTCTTCATAGCTTTGAAACTCGGAAGGACGGAAACACCTAGTGCCTAATTTAATGTTTTTTATCTATTAAATTTAGTAATCTTTACAACTGTCGAACCGATTACTTCGAAATTTGATTGGCAAAACGCTGACCACACTTTGTGTATTCATCAGTATATACAGTAGAACATAAAATTCATCTTCATCTGTGTTTTTAAAAATCTTACTTATAATTTTAATCACAAAAATTTTGAAGTAATATCGTAAAATAAATTTTGTTTAATATTCTACGAAATATTTACGTAACAATTTTACCATTTCAAAACAATTTCAAAGCATGACAGGAATTGGAAATTTGTGTTTCTATATTTTACGAGCTGTGAATGGCGAAAAAATAATCCAATTAATTCATCAAAATTATACTAATTCTAATTTTCTCCCGAAATTTCTACGAATAATTACCTTGTACGCCGAACTCGATTTACAGATTTAATCTTGAAAAATTCTATCAGCGTCCCTATATAAATCTATGGCTTCAAAACTCAATGATAAATTTTGCATAGCAGACGACTCTATCTTTCCCGTGTTTTTAATATTAAAAAGTAATCAAGTTCGAAACGGAAACAGCGTGCCCAACTTTCGTCACTGTTTTCCGCACAAAGCCCATGTAAGTTTTCAATAAACGTTTATTCATCTTTCCATATCGGGCGCCTCTAAAATTGAAATAGATCGCGACGATGTCTCCTAGAAATTTAATATAACTACATTTACAACTTTATGCCGAAAAAATGCACCGAAAGCTCCGACTCGCATCACAGCAGAGCTTTATGATACCTACACATGCGACACCACCAGCCGTATATAATAAAAGCGCTCCTCATTTTCCATCTGCGACTATAATCTCCCCGATTTAATGAAACTCGCAATCTCCACCCATCAATCAAGCAACTATCACATCCTCCCATTAAAAAAAAAAAAGCAATAACATCTCCAACTCCCAGACAACGTCCACCCCGAAACGTTTAATTCGGCTTAACCCGCGTAACACGAGCATGTAAATACATCCCTCCAATCCGCCCTCCCGCATTTCTCGAGTTTCTCTTCGGCAAACTTTCGACCCCCCGGAAAGATTGATACGACACGAAGAGGGCGAGAAGCAATCTTTATATAATAAACCCTCCTTTATCACGTAACGCCGTCTTATATTTTGTGAATGGAAGAGCACTTCTTGCCAGGATGATGAAACACTAACCCGAGCAACGTTTCCATACAAGCACATGAGATTAAAGAGTTTGTCCGCGTTGGTGCGAAGGGGGTCCAGCCCGTACACCATGAGGACGGCTCCGGGTTGCTGGAAGTGGGTGTTCCGCTGGTCCCGGTACTCGGCGGTCACTGGCGGCGCGCTTTTCCGGTACGTCTCGGTGCCGAAGGGCTCGCCGTAGCCGGGGCCGGCGCACATTTCGTCGTACCGCTGCTGCTCGCTGGGGTATGGGTCTGGAAAGAAAAGCACAAGGTCAGCAGAATAAAACAGCGGGTTAGGAACAAAGGTTCTATGAATTAGATCAGATCGAGTTTCGTTGCATTTCTCCAAAGTCGTTAATTTAAGTGTTTTAAGCACTTTGTTGTTTTATTTTAACGTCATTCCAAGTCCCATACAGGATAAAGTGCCGTTTTTGCAAGCCCAATAATTCAGTCTTATCTCCATGCGGTTCCCAGAACTGAAACGAATGCCCCTCCTGATAATTTTATCGCTTTAATTTAGAGATGTAATTAACAATTTTTTAGCCGAGAGTGGAATGAGCCGAACCGAACGGTCCTGATTGTGATAAACAAACCTCCAGTTCTGGTCCGAATAATACAGAAAATTCTGATTTCGTTCTATGTTAAATTATTTTTAATTATCTGTAAAAAAAACTAAAAGACCTGCTAAATCTCACTTTTTTACATTAATTAATAAAATTGAGTCAATGTTCTTTTATCAACCGGAGTAAATACACGGATCATTAAAAAGAAGAAAAGAATCGACCATAGGTAGAAAAGTGTATTATTTTGTCCATTTTGAATTCAATTTACTCAGCAATATTGCAGATAACGTCATCAAATTTTGGGGGAGGAAAAACACAAAAAAAAACAAATTACAGTTTATCCAGAAACTACACAATCGATTTTTAGGAAATTCTGCATACGCTTTGAGGTTATTGTGACTAGAATTTATTTGCTAATCTCCAAAAACTTGGCACCATCGTTCTACAGATTGGCAAATATTACTTGTTTGGATTACATTGGATGTCCAAACATAATGAATATATAATTCAATTTTTCGAAAACAGGTCTGTTTAAATGTTTGTGTGGTTTCTTTCTCGTTTTTATTTTACCGCAACAATTAAATCGTCAACCTCTTTATTATTTATTTCATAATCATTGTTGTTTGTTGTCCATTTGCGATTACTTTTTCCTATATCAAAAAAGTATTGTGTTTGTGGTCTTTTACGAGAATTCTAAATACGACGAGAAGGAATAAATCGAGTACATACAGTATAGTAGAATTGTTTTAATTTTGGCAACATGTTGAGCTTCAGATTGCTCTTACCTAGTGCTGCACGACAAGGGGTGTTATTTATGCCTCTGGTTTTTACTTTACAGCGATTATCACACAACAAAAATCGTAGAATCGAATTTTATAATTTTTTTAAAGAGCTGGATTTCTACGCTTCGACCAATTTTTTACTGATCAAAATAAGAACCCCATTTTCTAGAAAATGTGAGAATTTCCACGTTTTTATTTAATTATGATCAAATAAGAATAATGATTAACGTATTTAAAACATTTTATTCCATTATGGCTTAATTAAGAATTTTATTTTTATTCAAATTAAACAAATTTCTAGGTTCGATGTATAAACATAAACAAACGATTTTTTTTTAGAAAAAAATGATTATCAATTTATATAAAATACTCCCCCTAAAAGATGAAGAATATTTTTCCAAAGTTTTTTTTTGAAAATTAGGTACATGTATATTGTTACGAAATAAACCCATACGCCGCCCCCGTACGACGCCTATGGGTTTATCGAGGTGTTTCTAGTATGTGCGGCGATGATGGGTGACTCATCGGTGACGGCGGCCGGGCGGCGTTCGTATAAAGACAAGCCTGGAGCGGGGTACCGGAAGTCTCGATTGCAGAGTCCAGAAAAACCTCGAAGCGGCGTACGCGATCCATCCAGAGAAATGTGTAGCTTTAATTAGAGGCTACCTTCGGGAACGGATTATTCAGTTAACGAGTCGAGTCCAGTCAAGTTGCGTCGGAATTATTTTGCACAAAATCAGTGTGTAATCAGTCGTGTAAATTCGAGTTATTAAGAAATAAATTATTGAGTTTTACCCACGTCGATTTTTAATTACGATCGACGTAACAATATAGTAACTGAAATCATACGGAAAAAATTAACAAAACAGAACGGTTCCAGAATTTACAGTCACAACTCTTGCACGAATAATAAAGTTTATTGTAATTTTCTAAATTTATATAGAGGTACTTAATTCAGTGTTTAGTTTTTTAAACTAATTTAGATTTAATTAAATTTATTGAAAGAGAAAACCCGAATTTAAAGTGATATAAACGACATAAATAGACATTAATGTTTTACAATACAAAAGAACTAATAAAACACGACAAAAAGTCAACAAAGGTAAACCAAAAAATTTAAATATAATAAAAAATTAAGAAAAAAGGCCAAAAAAATGCAGAAACAAATGACAAAAAAATTAGGAAAAAGCTACTACAATAGAAAAAAATAAAAATAAAAAAGAAGCCCAAAATATCCAACAAAAAAGGCGACAAATAAGAGAACCAAAGAAACGCTACAAAAAAAAACGACAAAATGTCGATAAAAAAAGACTACAAAACAGAGGATAAAAAAAATCAACAAAAAAAAAACAAATTGCAAAAATTGACAAAACGACATTAAAAACGACACAAGACACAACAAAAACACAAAAAAAACCGCCTACAAAAAGCGACAAGAAAAGTCGCAAAAAAAGAAATAAAAAAAATGTCAGCAAAAATCGAAAAAAAGTAGCCTAAAAAAGGTGGCCAAAAATACGCTAAAAATGAGATTAAAAAGGAGTCAAAAATAGATTACAAAAAATGCGATAAAAAAAAACTACAAAGAGATATCAAAAACAGACTGATTTTACCAAATAGAATACCTTCCAAGAAAATAGAGGGCGGGTGGGCGGGGCTAGTACTTGCCAAGGTAAGACTAGTTTTTGCAAATAAAACACTCTTGCTAAGATAAAACTGATTTTGGTGAATGATATGCCCCATAAGAAAATAGAGGGTGGGTGGGCGGGGCTAGTACTTGTCAAGATAAGACTGATTTTAGCAAATGATATACTCTCTAAGAAAATAGAGGGCGGGTGGGCGGGGTTAATATTTTCTAAGATAAGACTGAACAATATTAAGAGTAGTCACTAGGATGAAGAGGGGGTGTGTGAGCTGCTTGCTTGTATTACTGGTGTGGATTTTGGTATTTTTGCCCCTACATTAGGATTAATGAAAAAAGAACTCAAAAAATGCAACGAAAAAGGCGGATAGATGAGGGTACTCAAAAAAGGCAATAATTAAGAGAACAAAAAAATGCTAAAAGTAAGAAACGGCAAAATGTCCATAAAAAAAGACTGAAAAAAAGGAGGACAAGAAAATTCAACAAATAAAGTGGCAAGAAGACATTAAAACATGAAAAAACACAAAAAAAACACAAAAACGGATACAAAAAGCGACAAGAAATTTCACAAAAAGGAAATAAAAAAAAATGTCATCAAAATATCGGAAAACACCAGCGATAAAAGGTGGGGTAAAAAAAGTGGCCAAAAATACGCTAAAAACGAGATTAAAAAGGAGTCAAAAAAAGATTACAAAAAATGCGACAAAAAAAACACTACAAAGAGATGTAAAAAACAGACAGATTTTAGCAAATAGAATACGTTTTAAGAAAATAGAGGAGAGGGCGGGTGGGCGGGGCTAGTACTTCCCAAGGTAAGACTAGTTTCGGCAAATAAAACACCCTCTAAGAAAATAAACGGCTAAGATAAAACTGATTTTGGTGAATGACATGCCCCATAAGAAAATAGAGGGTGGGTGGGCGGGGCTAGTACTTGTCAAGATAAAACTGATTTTGGCAAATGCTATACTTTCTAAGAAAATAGAGGGCGGGTGGGCGGGGTTAATATTTTATAAGATAAGACTGGTGTGGATTTTGGTATTTTTGCCCCTGCATTAGGATTAATAAGAAAAGAACTCAAAAAATGCAACGAAAAAGGCGAAAACGGCAAAATGTCTTTAAAACATAAAATACTAAAAAAAGAGGATAAGAAAATTCAACAAAAAAAGAGCTTACAAAAAAGTGACAATAAAAGACATTGAAAATGAAAAAAACACAAAAAACACAAAAACGCGTACAAAAAGCGACAAGAAAAGTCACAAAAAAGAAAATAAAAAGTCGATCAAAAAATTCGAAAGAAAAGAACGCGATAAAAAGTGCCCTAAAATACTGATAAAATGCGTATAAAAATGAGATTAAATAGAGTCAAAAAAGGGCAAAAAAAATTGTAAGAAAAAAAGGACAAAAAAACACTACAAAAAAGGCGACAAAAACTAGATGACAAAAACAATTGACTACAAAAAGTGACCAAAAGAAAAAAAGTAGAAAAAAATTGTGATCAACAAACTTCTTACATTTATCGAAGAACTGGTAATTTTTTTCTTCCTGGACATAAGTCAAACTAAGGAAGTATTGTAATAACTAATAAGAGTCGATCCGACAAATCGCTGTTTCCAGGTTTTCTCGACCTTTTATGATCCCAAGAGTACGAAAAAGTAGGTCCTCCATTTCCGCTTGTCTGTCGTCTGTGTCAATTTTTACATATATATACATATCCCCACCAACAATAGGATGACACCATCACCAACATTTACAATAGCAAGTTTATTTAAATTTTATAAAATAAGATGCTCCCACTCTAAATTGTTGGAAAAAAAAATCAAAATTGAATAACAACCCTTACTTGCACAACCGAATGGCCTGAAATTTTCAAAAGTTTTAAAATGGTCTTTGGTACAGTAAATAGTCAAAATTTACTTCTTTTGACCCCCTTCCCAAATGATGACGTCATCTTATAATTTTTTGACTTTTCGACTTTTCGAATTTACGATTTTTCCATTTTTTCTCTTTCAATGTTTGAGAAAACTCTAGTTTAAAATGATATAAACAATACAAATAGACAGTAATGTTTTAAAGTACAAAAGAATACTAATAAAATAAATAAAAAATATAAACCAATCACTAAAATTTTCCTAAATAATGGAAAATGAATAGAACATCTTTAATCGTAAATACTAATATTCCATAATGATATACCTACTCCATAATAATTTACAGACCTAAGGTACACTTAATTTTAGAATTGAATTTAAATCAAAATCAAATAAAACG